TATTTTTGTACAGCTGTCCAATGTGTTTGTATCTTAAGTATTATTACAAGAGTCAAAAAGTTGAAAAATTACAAAGTTTATGAAGTTTAAAAATCACAGTAAGCCAAGGTTAACTTATTATTGAAGAATGAAAAATTTTCAAATAAATTCAGTGTAGTCTAAGTGTACAGTGTTTATAAAGTCTACAGTATTATATAGTAATGTCCTAGGCCTTCACATTCGCTCACCATTCACTCACTGATTCACTCAGAACAACTTCCAGTCCTGCAAATACTATTTTTTCTCTTTTATACTGTATTTGATTGTACCCCTTCCATGTTGATAGGTTTAGATACATAAATACCATTGTGCTACAACTGTCTACAATATTTAGTACAATAACATGCTATACAGGTTTGTAGCCTAGGAGCAATAGGCCATGCCATATAGCCTAGTGTGTAGTAGGCCATACCATCTGGGTTCATGTAAGGACACTCTATCATGCCCACATAATGACAAATTCGCTTAACAAGGCATTTTCCAGAACATATCCCCATCGTTAAGCAACACATGACACCAATTTGAAGATGAAACTAACAGGACTGAAAGACTCCAAGGTTTTGGGCATGAGTAACTGAGTGAAGAAGAGGGAGGGGAGAGCAGAAAGCAAAGCAAGTGGGGGTGGGCTTCAAAAAAACTATGTTCTGGTTTAGAGATCTATTCCAGAAAATAGGAGGGAGGGAACGCTTCCCAAGTCCTTTGACAAAGCCAGCACAACCTTAAAACCAACATCTAACAATGATATTACAAAATACATAGATGTAAAAATCCTAAACAAAATACTTTCAAACCAAGTCCAGAACTCATAAAAAGGGAAATAGATCATAATAAAGTTGGATTTATTCCAGGACTTAGTTGGAATTATTCTAGGAATGTGAGGTTAACATTCACATATCCACTAATGTAATTCACGTTAACAAAATAAAGGAGAAAAATCTCAATAAATACAGAAAAACCTTTGCTAAAATTCAGTATTCACTCATTATTTCAAAAATTTAGCACAACAGGAATAGATGATAACTTATTTAATCTGATAGGAGTATTATAAAAACCTAATTACAGCCGGGCTCGGTGGCTCAACCTGTAATCCTGCGCCTTTGGGAGGCTGAGGTGAGTGGATTGCCTGAGCCCGCGGGTTCGAGACCCGCCTGGGCAGCGAGATCTCATCTCTACAATAAATCAAAAAACCAGCCGGGCGTGGTAGTGCATGCCTGTAATTCCGGCTACTCGGAAGGCTGAGGCGGAAGGATCACCAGAGCCCAGCAGGCGAGGCTGCGGTGGCCAGGAGTGGCCACTGCACTCCAGTCTGGGCAACCGAGTGAGAATCCAACTTAAAACAACAACAACAAAAAAAAAAACCTAACTGCACACATCATGTTAATGATAAAATACTGAAAATATTTTCCTTGAGGTCAGCTATGAGAGAAGGATAATTTCCATCACCACTTCTATTAATCCTTAGACTGAAGGTCCTTGCCAGTGCAACAAGGCACCAAAAGAAGAAGGAAGAGGAGGAGACAGATGAAGAGCAGGAGGAGGCAGAGGAGGAAGGTATAAGACAGGAATGAAGAAACAGAACTGTCATTTACAGATGACATAATTGTATCTATGGAAAATCCTGAAGACTCTATGTATTAATGACTAGAATTTATAAGTGAATTTATCAAGATCACTAGATGGAATTTTAAGATACAAAAATCAACTGTATTTATATATAGCAGTAATAAACAATTAAAAAGTTAAAAATATTGGTAAAAAGATGGTAGCATTTACAATCAGATCAAATATCTGGAAATAAATCCTTAAAAACTGCCATACATCTACATGGTAAACTACAAAATACTCCTAAGAGAAAATAAATAAGCCCCAAATAAATGAAGTGCAAAACTACATTCATGATTGAAAAACTATTGTAAAGATAACAATTCTGTACTGACTTAATCCATAGTGTGAATGCAATTCTAGCAAAATCCCAGCAGGGTTTATTTATTTTTTGTCAAAATTGACAAGCTGATTCTGAAATTATATGGAGTTACAAAAAGAAAGACCAAGAATAACCATGACTTGAGGAAGGACAAAGTTTGAAAACTACCAGAAGCCGGGCTTGGTGGCTCAGCCTGTAATCCCGCGCCTTTGGGAGGCTGAGGTGAGTGGATTGCCTGAGCCCACGGGTTCCAGACCCGCCTGGGCAGTGAGACCTCATCTCTACAATAAATCAAAAAATCAGCTGGGCGTGGTAGCGCATGCCTGTAATTCTGGCTACTTGGAAGGCTGAGGCGGAAGGATCGCCGGAGCCCGGCAGGTCGAGGCTGAGGTGGCCGGGAGCAGCCACTGCACTCCAGTCTGGGCGACAGAGTGAGACTCCAACTCAAAAAAAAAAAAAAAAGAAAACTACCAGAAATCAAAACTTATTAAAAAGTTACAACAGGCCGGGCTTGGTGGCTCAGCCTGTAATCCTGTGCTTTGGGAGGCTGAGGTGAGTGAATTGCTTGATGCTTGAGCCGGTTCGAAACCCGCCTGGGCAACTTGGCGAGACCTCGTCTCTACAATAAACCAAAAATTAGCCGGGTGTGGTAGCACATGCCTGTAGTTCCAGCTACTTGGACGGCTGAGGCGGAAGGATCACCGGAGCACGGCAGGTGGAGGCTGCAGTGGTCGGGAGTGCTCCAGTCTGGGCGACAGAGTGAGATTCCAACTAAAAAAAAAAAAAAAACTTACAATAATGACAACCAGGTCATATTGCCAAAGGACAGAAAACAAAGCCAGTAGAACAAGATAGAAAATCCAGAAACAGACCTACAAATATAGGAACATTTGATTTGTGCAAAGGGGACACAAAACACTAGTGGGGATAGGATAATCATCTTAGTAAATAGTGCTCAGCCAAATGAATATCCACATGGAAAAGAATAATTTTTTTTTGAGTTGGAGTCTCACTCCATCACCCAGGCTGGAATGCAGTGGCACACTCACAGCCACTCCAGCGTTGACCTGCTGGGCTCCAGCGATCCTTCCACTTCAGCCTTTCAAATAGCTGGAACTACAGGCACACGCTACTGCACCTGGCTAAATTTTTTTTTTTTTATCTTATTGTACAGATGAGCTCTCGACAAGTTGTCCCAGCTGTTCTCAACCCATGACCTCAGGCAATTCACTCGCCTAGGCCTCCCAGAGTGCTAGGATTACAGGCTGAGCCATGGAGCCTGGCCAATTAATTCTTGACTGGCCCTTGCTTCATACCATACACAAAAACCAAATCCAGATTACTGTAGGTCTAACAGTGATATGCAAAATAATAAAATATCTAGAAGGTAACACAGCAGAATCTCTTCAGAGACACAGAACGCACTAATCACATGGAAAAGATTGATAAACTACTACATTGAAATTAAGAACTTACATCTATCGAAAGACACCATTTAGAGAAAAAAATTCCTTAAAGTAGGAGAATATATCTGAACATATATATGCTCAACAAATAACTTTTTTTTTTTTTTTTTTGAGTTGGAGTCTCACTCTGTAGCCCAGATTAGAGTTGGAGTCTCACTCTGTCGCCCACCTGCTTGGGCTCCGGCAATCCTTCCGCCTCAGCCTTCCAAGTAGCTGGAACTACAGGTGCGCGCTACCACACCCGGCTAATTTTTTGATTTGTTGTAGAGACGAGGTCTCACCAAGTTGCCTGGGTGAGTCTCGAACCCGTGGGCTCAGGCAATTCACTCACCTCAGCCTCCCAAGGCGCAGGATTACAGGCTGAGCCACTGAGCCCGGCTCTCAACAAAGAACTTTTAACCTGAATATTTTAAAAAATTATTTTAAGTCAATAAGAAAAAGCATACAAATAAGGAGGAATAGACAAGAAACTAGAATATACACTCCACAATAGAAATTATTCATATGTGGTCAAAAAAAAAAAAAAAAAAAAAGAAAAGAAATAGAAAGAAAAATCTACTCAACCTTATTATTCATCAGTGAAGTAAAAATTAACCACAATAATATGCTACCACATATGCCCAAATGGCTAAAATGAAGAAAAAACACCAAAAGGCAATGTCAGCTATTAAAGAGATGAGAAAAACTGGCACTCTCATACACTGATAGTGGAAATGTAAATTAGCACAATTACTTAGGAAAACTGTTTGGCAGTACTTACTATAGTTGAACATATACATTCCCAATAACTGAATAATTCCACTCCTAGGTATATGCCTAAGAAATGTACACATATGTATACCAAGGGATATGTACAAGAATGTTCATAGCAGCACTATCATAGTCACCTCCAAGCTAGAAATTATCCAAATGTCCATCAATAGTAGAATGGATAAATAAATTGTGATACATTCATACAACAGAGCACACAGCAAACAAGAAAAGCAAACTACTGAGAGAGAGAGAGAGAGATGCCCAAGGATCCCCAGCTATTCTAGCCCTCAGCTGTTTGAGTCTTCCCAGGCCAGGGCCCAGACAGGTGAGTGAAGAAGTCTTTGAGATGACTTCAGCACCAGCAGCTATCTGATCAGAACAGCATGAAAAACCTTGAGAACCACCTAGCTGAGCCCAGTCAAGTCCCACTTACATGAGTAAAATAAATTATTGTGACTATTTAAAATCAGTTTTAGAGACAGATACTATACAACAATAGATAACTGTAATATAAGTTGAAGTATTTAGCAAAAAAAGAAATAAAACATATTTATAAAGTCATCTTTAAATGTTTAAGGAAACCTAATTAACTTAGTTTATAAAAACCTCTCTAAAAACCATTGTTTAATACTTGGTTGGTTCATCAACAGAATAAGAATTTTAAGCTGAACTTAAAAATCTAAGGGAAAACTCAATGTTGAAATTTCCACTTCCATGAACTGAATCTTAATTGGCAAATTAAAAAATGACCACCAATGAAAAAACTTCTTGTATAGCTGACTCCATTGATCCTTTCAGACAATTCAAAGAAACAACACAGGGAAAGGAGCTGACTGATTTATTTAGTGCTTACTAGGTGCCACAACATGTCCTAGGTGCCCTACTTAAATCAACTCATTTGATCCTCACAACAACCCTGTGAGGTGGGTTTTATAATCCCCACTTGACAGATGAGGCTCAGAGAGGTTACATAACTTGCCCAAGATTCTGCAGCTAGTAAAGGATGGCTTTTCTGTGCATGCACTTTGGATGCCTTCTCCTGGAAGGAAGGCTTGTGAGGGTGGATTTCTCAAAATCACTCAGGGGCCCTGGTGTATCGACCATGGAGCCACCATCCGTGCCCACTCCCCTTGCCTGGGAGCCTTCCAGTGGGTGAGAAGAGGGGTGTGCCTGTAAACACGGAAGAGAGCGGCACTGGCCACAGAGAAAAGGACAGTCCAATGATCCTTAAAGTTCGGGAGTGTGGATTGGAGCCAAAGGGGCCTGGCCCCTGGACACAACTTGAGAGTAGCTCTGGAGAGGAGTTCTAGAAGCTGTGGAAAGAAAAAGAGGAAGGATTTCAGCACTATGGCTCCAGATAGCTTACCTAACTTCGCAAGTTCTTTTCAGTTTTTTCTTTTCCTTTACCAATTCTCAGTGTTTTAACTGTACCCCATGCCTGACATGGTAGGGGCAGAAGCACCTTTGAATAATTTCATTCCAGAAATCTATCTAGTCCAATTCTCCCATTTTATAGGTGAGGAGACCAAGAGATCAACTTCCTATGAACAGTATAGAACTCTACTTTCTATCTAATCCAAATGAATGAGCTAAAGAAAAAACAAAAACCTATACTGAAAAATCGTACATTTTGCAAAATTCTTGACTTCTATTTTTACAAAAAGAAGAGTAGGAAAATGAGGCCATAAAACAGACATAAAAGAATGATCTTGAAGCAGAGGGTTGCAGGGTACCCTCAGGCTACTGTGACCCAGACAACAGGGAGGAAACTGCTGCCTCTAACCTACCTGACACACAGAACCTGTGGCAGGTAGAGCTGGCACTACCATCCACAGACCTTTGCTCTGGCTATGCCACTTTCGAGAACAAGCTTTCTGTCCCTGCAGTCCTTCCAGTGGTTCTGTTAGAAAAGTGCGGTTTACCAGTACAGTCAGCTACCAAAGCACCTTCAGTCACTTCTGAGGGACAGAGCTTGATTACAGTGTGACTGTACTCTGTCTCCCCTAAACAAAGGAAAACAGTCTGAAGTAGGACCCTCAGTTATTCGGGGACTAAGGAGTTAGCCTGCTTGCTTTTGGCCTCCATCTTTTTGCTGTTCCTTCTGTTGTCAGGGAATTCTGCCACTTCCACCTTCCCCGAAAAGCCAAACTGGGGGAAATAGGAGGCAACATCATGTATCTCTGACAAAAGGTGTGGAGGGGAGAAGGAGGGCAAAGAGAGAGAGAGAGAGATGAGCAAGGGGGAGGAGGAGAGAGAGAGAAAAAAAAAAAGAGATAGAACACTGCTAAACAATTCATACACACAATAGAACTTTAAAATATGTTACACATTTAACTAGTGCTTTATAACTAAAAAACTGCCTTTATCATAACTACTCCTCACAACTGGGTGAGGTAGACAGAGTCATATAAACCCTGTTCTGCTGATGAGGAATCTGCTCTTGATGGTATTTAAGTGGCAGGGCTAGAGTCCAGATCTTAGAACCACAGAATCATAGAGTTAGAAGGCACCTCAATAGCAATTATATAAGACATCATTTTCCCAGTCTGAATCACCTTATAAAGTCTCTGAAAAGGTTTCTTCTGGTCCCTGATTGAACCCTTCCAGTGATAAGTAACTCAATACCTCATGAGCAATCCATTATTAGTACTAAGCTGAAGTTCTTCTCCTTATAACTTTCAGCCTTTAATTCAGTTTCTGCCCACAAAACACTACCAAATTAAGATAAATTCCAATTCCCTTTCTTTTTAAAATTTGAAAATATTATACTTGCCCTTTTCTTGCAGATTAAGTATCTTTAATTCTTTCAACGATTTATCATGTGCTTAGCTAGCACCATGCCTGGAATATATATTACTAATAGATAATTAATAAATATTTGCTGAATTGATTCTCTGACCCTTATGCTAGGTCCTGATCCTGGGCTCCTTCCCTGACCACAAATGTCCTCCATATTTTAATCTGTTTATCATTTGTTTATTTAAATAATAGAGAAAGAAACAATATATAGCTTTTACTTTCCAAACCCTAAAGTTTTCAGAACAACATGCAAACCAAATTAAAATTGTCCAAATTTTAGACAAATTTTTCAATTTGTGATAATAGACTCATTAATTCAACAGACCACTCAGAGATGCATTTCTCATTCATCAAGTACATCTCACAAGTAAGACACAGAATGAAACATCATGGAGAAGGCCCACAGAATTAAATGGAATTTTCTAGTGAAGGGGATAATGCGGGGTAGGCGGGAAGACCCTGCATAAATACGCTATCCTGCAGCACTGCTTTGCCTGTTAAGAGATGTAACACACATTTTTGGTTCAATTTTGGGCACCACCAGACAAAAAACGTGTACTCTCTTCACAAAAGAGCTCCAGTGGAAGCTCTGGCTTTTTTGTTTGGTCTTAAATTGGATTAGTGTGAGAGGCAAGCACTGGTGTCAATGTGATGAGGCTGTGTCATTTCTAACAATGCAGAATTCAGCCAGCTTCATGCCTCTTACGTAAGTGCTGTGCTGGGACAAATAGCAATGAGCTTAACATTTTGGTAACTAAAGAGCCAGGAAATAGACATGAATTGTGTCCTACTTTATGAAGGAAATGATAGTAAATTGCTACCAATCATAAGAGAATATGCTTATTCATCACAGCAATAATTGTATAAGGAGTTTAATGGTAAATAAGTCAAACCAAACATCTCAAAACACAGTCTCAGAAAAATATCTCAGGTTAAATTATACTATGATCATAGACTACTTTGGGAACCATCTAAAACTTGGCCAATTTGATCATGTTTTCAAGTTGTTCTGAAAACTCTGTGGCTTGAAAGTAAACAGTGTATTTTTTTCCCTTTCTATTACTTAAGCAAACACAAAAACCCTACTCTCTTTATATTGAAAATATCTGTGTTTTAGAAAGTGAGTGACATCAGTAGTTTTCTCATCCTGAGTTTCAGAAAAGTCTGGATTTGGAAATAGTTATTTCATAGGATATTATTAAATGTTGAGGACTTAGAGACAGAGTTGTGACCTCCCTTCACATAAAATGTTTGCACTGCAATCATGTGAAAGGTGATAGATTCTCCACAGGTACAGAATAGAGGGAACTGTAGTCATTCAGGATCCCTCACCACGAGGGAGGAGGACAGTCCTAAGTGGTCAAAGAAATCATAGTGAAAAACAGCAGAGTTCTTGCTGAAAGACCTTCAGGTGTCCCAGGGCTTGTGTCCACTGTGCTGCTAACAGACTGCTTTCCGTTTCCTCCTCTCCTTCTCCTTCTCACATCAATCCAGGAGGACTTTTGGGGACAGCTGGTCCAACACGCTCAAATGAAGACTGTAAGATTCTATGAAGTTGTATGGTTTGCAAAAGGTCACATATTTGATTAGTAGCAGGGGCAGACACAGAAGCTCTTGGGCTCTCAGTCCTGGTTTCTTTCTTATTTACCAGGAGCCTGCCTCCTAATGTTTAGAAAACATTCCTAAAGTTGGAGATTTCACACCTTCACTTGAATGGTTTTCTTTATAGGCAGAAGGAAAGGAATTAATCTTGGAAGAGTTAGGACACTAATAAGATGGGGGTACAGTGTGGTTTAGGAGGAAGTGTGAATAGAACAAGGCAGGAAAATGAAAAAAAGAAAAAGAAGGTAATAGCAGAGATAAATATATGAATGATGGAATGGGAGAAGACATAGAGGAAAAATGGGAGGGATAAGTGAACTGAGAAGAAAAGGGATACTTCTGAGCAGCAAATCGAGGCGACCAAGGACTGAGCAGAAGTCAGAGAGAGAGAAGAAAAAGGCAAGATAGAACCAGGAAAAGAGAAGTAAACCAGGAAGATCAAAGTGAGAAAACAGGGAGCTGCCATGAGTTGATGAGAAAGTGTGTGTGGGGGGGGCACAGCTGGACACAGAGGGATCCAGAGGATATGTCTAGTGTGTGTAGATGGGGATGAATGGTGGGATGGTGAACAGCAGCACAATGGGACGGGGTGATGGGAGGGGCCATGCAAATGAATGGCAGCCACAAAGTGACCCTGGGTGGTAGAGGGATGCTATCAGCTATGCTTAATGGTGGGTCTAAGGACACCAGTATCACAGGAGATAAACTCCATATCTCTAAAGCCAAATATCCAACCTCTTATCACCCACCTCTCTTTCATCATTTTTGTAACTTGTTTTCAACATATGCAGACATTCACTCGTTCACTTTGTGCACCCTGGAGGCCTTCCTTACTCGCCTAGTTTCTTGGGAAATTTGTCGGTGCTTCCCAAAGAATGGTGGGTCTCTTAGGGCCTCCGACACCTGAAAATGCCTTTCACATCAGGAATGATAGAATTTTCCTCGGGAAAAGCCAGGCCTCTATCATGGTGGGGTGAAGTTCCAGAGAAAAATGTAACAGCATTGTGAGAGTAGCCAGGGGAACATGAAGCCAGTTTACCAGAACTACTGAGTATAGCCTTTTTTGTTTACTCTCTTAGGAACACCCTGTGAGGGAAATCCTGCGTGCACTGTTAGACCTGCTCGGATTCATGCCCATCTTACCTCCCACAGGTGTGGGTAGCCAGGGAAAGCCAGGCTGCTATATGTCTATCCAACTGTAGTAACATTTAATCAGAGCAGTATCCAGCCCAAATGATCAACAAATGCATTTTCCAATAGGGGAGAAGAAAGCAAGATGGGGACATTTTCCTCCCAGAGTTATTAGCCTGTAATCACAAGCCTTTTATGCAATTTTAACAGAGATAACTTGCCCAGTCCAGGCTAAACAACAACTGCTTTCCAGAACTGTCTGTGCTACGGAGACAGTCAACAGGAATTAGAACCCTGCCAGCATTCTGTTTCCTTTAAAATGCCCAACACAAATAAAATTCCCTTTAGCCCCAGATGTGGCCTTAGCTATTAGCACAAACTTGCAAAAAAAAATTTAGTCACCCACCTGCCTGCACAAAATGTCTACCAGTCCACCTTCCAAAACGGGATCAGCTAATGAATGAGTTTTTAAAATCCCTTCATGCCTCGCACAACCTCGGTGAGCTGCTACCCACAAGGTTGGGTTAATGTCACTTTCTGCGAGTCCTATGAGAGATGCTCTGCAGAACGGTTTCTGCTCTAGCGAGCTGAGTGAAGGCCAGCTGCTGGCAGGAATGTGTGGAGCTGCCTTCTGAGTACTTACATAGGATCCTGAGCCGGAGACTGTGCCCGTGTTAGTTCTCCCCTCACCTCATGTACTCCCCATCACTCCTATAATCCATAAACGATTCTGATCCTGACACTTCCTCAAAATCCTCCAGCACCAGACTGGTGGAGTCCTCACCCAGGATGCCGCTGTCAGGTCTGGACATCCTGGCCCGGAAAGGAGGTGCAGGAAGGTTGGTGGCAGCTGGAGGGGGAGAGTGAGGGGGTGTTTGCTGGACAGATGTGGGCACGGCCTGAGGAGGGGACAGGGCTGGCTCACAGACTTCCTCATCATCCTTCTCAGACTCGGGCCCTACATCTGAGGCAGTAGGACCCAGGACGAGGTAGAGACTGGGGAGGCGGATGTCAAAGCGCAGCCCAAATTTAGCAAAGAGCTTGTCATTGAGAGTGTAGAGCTTCTCTGAGATGTCATAGCCCAGCAGCACTGAGAAGAGGCGGGAGATGTATCGCTCTTTGGTCAGAAGCAGGTGGAGATTCTTCCGGGGCCAGGAAACGTAGCTGCATGAGGTCTCAGCCGTCAGAGTGACCTGAGAGGGGTCAGGAGTAGAGAGTGAAGGTTTACACTAGAAAACGTGTCCATGTGGAGCACAGCAAAATACACGGTTACTTGGCCAATGGCTGCACTTGTGTTGAAACAACTGCATGGATGCACCCCTCCATGGTCTTGCCTGGGGAGATCCAGTGGGTGACTTTTACTTGTGTGCTCTAACCTGGGGGTGTCCTGTGTCAGGATCCCTGAGACCACCCGTTTACTCACTCGCCCAGTCCAAATCCAGTTTCCTCAGCTCTAATGCTATGGTTCCATGGCTATCACTAAAGGCTGCAGAAGGTTCTGTGTCTTGTAATCTTGAGAGAGAGAAGGGGACTCCTTGTGCTCTGAACAGAGGCTGAAATGCTGTTGGCTATTCAGAATGAAGGAAGATAATGTATTTGGGTAGAGACATAAAAAGTACCAAAAAGAAGTCCAGATAGAGAAAAAGCTTCTGATTAGCTATGCCAAGCTACCTTGTGCGGACTGAGCACTGGCTGAATTCAGGTCCATGAGATTGCTTGTAACATGGCCACTACGGATCTGATGACTAAACGGATCTGATGACTAAAGGCAGAAAAAGTGCCCAGAGGAAGACAAACTCCTAAGAGCAGAAAGTCAAAGGGCACCCCATTCACCATTTATTTATTCACCTAGAAGTATCTGAGCACTACGTTCCTGGGATGGAAAGCTAAATTATACTTCCAGGGGAAACAAGCAATAATGTGTGCTGGCATGCAGTAGGTGCTTGATAAATCCTTGTTAAACTAATGATGAGTGGTAAAGCTAGGGTTAAAATAGAAACATGCTTAGGATAGTACAGGACAAGGGTGCAGAAACACACAATTTTTAATAATCTGATTGACCATAACATTTTGGGCTGGCAGGGCTCATGATGGACATTTGAGGAGGGGAAGGATGATGACGGCGGCTAACACCCATTGGGAGATGACGGTGTGTGCCAGGCATGGTGTTAAATACTTCATATGAATTATTAAGTTAAAGGAAGGGTTGACTTTCCAAACATTATTTATTAGATTTTACATATAATTCTTTTAATTCCTGCATTGCCTCCCAGATCTCCCACTGCCCTCCTCTCTTTCTTCCTCTCTTTGGTATCCCTCCTCCACATCCTTTATTGATTTCTGTCTCTCAGTTTTCCCCCACTGATTGTCAGCACTGCTATCAGGGCCTTAAATGACATTATAGGCCAGAAGCTGGTTTTGAGTTTCAGCCTTACCTCTACCAGCTGTGTGACAACAGATAAATTATTTAACCTCTCTGAGCATGTTACCTCATGAGAAAGGATTCTAAAAATAATATAATCTGTCTGCTACTAACAGCTCAGTAAGTAGTTGACACTATCTGCCATAGCCTATATCTTAGATGAACTTACTAACAATTCCCAAACAAGAAATCATGGTACCAAAGATGAAACAGGTATGTTTGAGCAAGAGCTAATCTGAATATAAACAGTGTCCTTAAAGCCAAACACAAAGATTGTGGGCATTCTTATGAACATGCTGTTCCTTCTTCCATCTTAAAATAAAACAAAATTTTAAAAATGAAAATTCTTTTTCTTCATCTCACTTCCCTGGCTAGGTCCCATTCCACTAATTTGCTCCCCTTTTTAGCAAAACTCCATGGAAAAAAATTGCCTACACTTACTGCCCCTTCCTCTCTGTTCCAGGCCCACTCTCCTCCTTTCTGTACTTCAAGCATGCTGACCCTACCTCAGGGCCTTTGCATGGCTCTGTTTTCTGTCTGATATGCTCTTCCCCAGATAGTCACAGAGCTCACACTCTCACCTCTGTGAGGTTTTTGCTGAAGTGGCACCTGCTCAACCAGGACTTCCACGACCACCCTATTTAAAATTTCAACCATATTTCCCTCACACTATGCCACTTTTTTTTTTTTCAACTAGCAGTTATTATCCTCTAACATACTACATACTTTACTTATTCATTATGCCTCTGGCTTATTTTTTGCCTCCCCCACTAAAATGTAAATTGCATGAGGGCAGGGACCTTCATCTGCTCTGTTTACTGATTTATTTCAAGACCTTTAATAGTGCCTGGTATATAGTAAGTGCTAAATAAATATTACTGAAGTGAATGAATGAATCAAGTGAAAACAATCAATCTTGTATGTTGCAAAATCATCTAATATCACTTTTCTATGTTCTGCATAAAACTTTAAAAAATCCTCCCCAAAGGTCAAAGAAATCTGTTTGTTTGATTTTTTTAGTTGAAGTCTCACTTACTCTGTTACCCAGGCTGGAGTGCAGTGGCACAATCACAGCTCACCACAGCCTCTAACTCCTGGGCTCAAGTGCTCCTTTTGCCTCAGCCTCCTGAGTAGCTGGGACTACAGGCACATGCCACCATGCCTGGTTAATGTTTTTAGGGACGAGGTCTCGCTATGTTGCCCAGGCTGGTTTTGAACTCCTGAGCTCAAGCAATCCTCCTGCCTTGGCCTCCCAAAGTACTGGGATTATGGGCATGAACCAGCACACATGGCCCAGACATCTGCTTTTTAATCAGTTCCCACATATATATGGACATGTCTGTTATAAAGTTTTGACATGTATTTAGCTTTTTCTTTAATATTCACCTCAAAGGTTGATTGACTAGATTAAATTAGATATGTAAATAGGAGTTAGGTCCAGTAAAACAGGATGGAAATTAGAAAAATATGATGATTTCTGTGTAATCCCTCCTGTGCTGTGTTCTTGGTGACTAATGACAATGTCACAGTGCTGAACAGTCAATAAATTCTGACTTAATTGTTGAACTGCGTGACGAGATGTTGACTAATTTGTGTTCAACACAATGTGAATTATGATTCAGGCAGTGATGATTCGATCAACAAAGACTCTGTAGTTGCAAAAGGTAAGGACAGGATGAACTATAACTTAGGATAACACTTGACATTTGCAAGAGGAAATGGGACTTTACACAGCCAATGGCAAATGTGTGGATCTCACTGCTCCCAAAGGAGGTACACACTAAAAATATAAAGTGGAGAAACATGACCGCACCTACATTCCAGGCTGAGGGGCCATCTGGGGTTACAGCCCTTCCTTCTGAGCATAACTTAGGGGAGGACACCCGGCTTACCCACCACCTGTCCCTCGGTGTCAGTGTCAGAAATAGAGCCCGGGTCCAGCTGGCTCAGGACCTGACTCAGCCCTCCTGGAGTCTCTCATGGCCCTAAGGGAGCTCCTAACAGAGATTTCTGGGCTATTAAAGAAGGTGTGTGTGTGGGGGGAGATGTTGGGGTAGGAACATGATGGAAGGGAATCTGTGGCTGGTAACCCTGGCAATGGGACCAGGATTGCCTCTCAGGCTCCGTCATCACAGAGACCAGTGTGAGGGTGGGGGTGGAAGCAGTCCCAGCCAGGCACTGCCTAGCATGTGTCTGTTCTGGGGCTGGCTCATATGTTGGCTTGAGTGATTCCCTGACAGAAGTAGTAGGAGACACATGGAATCCAGTTCCAGAAAACTATCTGGACAGGGGAGTCCCTGTAAGGTTGGGTAAGCGTGTGCGAGTGAGTATGTGTGCGTGTGTGTGTGTGTGTGTGTGTGTGTGTGTGTGTGCGTATGTGTAGCCCCACTTTTCTGGTAGCCCTCCCAAATTAATAAAGAAGAGAAATAGTAGATTCAGGAAACTTGACTCTGCCACTTTCTAACTGAAGACCTTAGGCAAATCAGTTGATATTTGAGGACCTTGGTTTCCTCTTCTATTTTTTTTTT